CTTCCACTCCTAATAGAGGAAGGGCATTAAGAATGGGCATTCTAGTTCCCAAAAGCGTCAATTGCCTTTCTTTCCTAGTCTTCAACGCTTTGAAAATGAGAGATGAAAGCATCTTTTGTTTTCGCCATATTTGATTGAGTTTGTGAATCGCAGGACCGCTGTTTGCCATCCTCATCCTGAATCCTTTTTGAAAGCATATCCCTTCGCATTGCTGTTCCTCGTCTGATTCCAATATGGATGACTAGATTATAAACCTTGTAAGAGAAAGAGAGGAGACGGGTTAAAATATAGTTGTTTCACTAAGGAGCCTCTTGGAATTCTGAGTTACGAAAAACAGTTTTGGTCGTTGCATTGAAACAGACAACCTCACATCTAGTTCGTTTGTTTCCAGTTCGCCGATTTTTCTGCGAATTTGTCATAACGTGCTTCTTGAGGCACAATTCATTTAGAAGTTGTTGGTGATGAACTTCAGTTATGAAGTCATATTTCGAACTTCTCAATATTAATATAAAATTCGTTGAACTGTAAGCGTCCAACACGGTTCCTTTGACTTCATGGGGATGGGAGGCTTGCTGCGCGTGGGACGAGATTGGGCCAGCATCGTGCTCGTGATGATCGGCATCACTCCCAATCACCGTGCTATCCCCAGAATGGGCAGTGGTTCTCCGATATCATGAAAGGTGTTTAGGAAGCCGCGTCTTTTGCTCTCCGTCACTACCATTATATCGTCCTTGATCTTCTTAACAAGCAAAGCACTGACCACTATCATGCCATCTTTAACTGAAAGAGATTTTGTTTGTATACATGTAAGTGAAGGAGACATGTAACACAGTGCTTAGAGGTCTCCGTGAATACTATAGTATCGTATTTAATCGTCTTATCTGGCGAAGTATTGACAACTGTCATGCTATTTTGCTTCAAAGAGATTTTCTGGAAATATTTTCGGAGAATGTTCCTTTCCAATCTTCATCACTGCCGTGACATCGTGCTTGATCTTCCTAGCAGGCAAAGGGCTGACGACCGTTACGCAATGCTTGGCTGAAAGACTTTTTCTGTGTATGTATCAGTAACAGGGCTTGTAGTGCAGTGTTTTTGGGTGCCCTACAATGCACACGTGGTCGTTAGTTCGATCCTGTTCTCTGTGACATCCAAACTCTCCATCTGTCTGGAGTCGACAAATCGGTATCGAACTTATCTTGTCGGATAGCGGCACCGGCTCGATACATCGGTAATCCACCGCAAATCATTCTATAGGGCAGATATGCATTCAGTCGCTTCTAATGATACTCAATAAAGTCGAGTGCATGGCTAATCCCTCAGAAACTGATCCACGCCAGAAGTTTTATCCCTTGTTTTTTACATTAGCGAACAATATTTTCCAATATCCGTCAAGGCCATTATGTTGTGCTTGATCTTCTTATCTGGAAGAGCATTGGCGTATATGGTACCTTCTCTGGTCAAAGTAGATTGCGTTAATAATCTGCTTTCATGTTCATTAAATCGAAAATATGTTGAAGTCAACTTTCCACTGGTGTTAACTGATCTATGCTTCATTCTTTGTTCAGGAGTTTTCGTCTAATTCTGAAGGATTTTCTTCAGTGTTTTAACTTTATGGTCTCTATTTAAGAAATATTTAAGAAATTTGTTCTAAACCCCTTCTAGCTACTAATAGCCATAATTCCCAATGATCATCTCTTCTCAGTGATCTGGTCTGGAGAACTTTTCAGGCTTTTTGTTTGTAGCGATGTGTATGACATGTTAGTCTTCTAAACAGTACGAGTGTTGTCCCCTAAAAGCGGATAGCAGCAGCTTCTAATATATTCTGCAATATTTGTAATAGCTTTAACAAATTTTCTCCTACATAGTTACTAAGTTGGCAAATATGGTTCCATTTTTTTATTCTTGCCGATCTGTTATTGTCCAATAATAGCGTACCTGTCGATATAATGCAATCTTGAAGACATCAGGTTTATTTGCGGCGTTTTAACTTTCCATGAAAGAGATCAATCGGTGCTATGAGATTGTTGAGCTGTAAATTGAGATGAGTACGTTTTAAAATTTTAACCCTGATGGAGGATGCATGAAGCGCAGTGTTTGAGAGTTCGCTTTAATACCGCTGGATCGGTAGGTTGAATCCATTCACCGGCCCAACCAATCCTTTCACCCGTTTGAGGTTGAGAAGCTGTTGTTAGATTTCTCAGAAAGGACGAAGATACACAGATGATAAATTAGTATGCCCACGCCAAATTTATGAATGTAGTATATTCTAAGTAAACATTGAATCACCTCTGTGATGCTTAATGGAACCGAATTAATAGCACGTCACTCACAGACTATTCATCGCCGAACGCTTTTCCGTTTTACTACATGACATTATAACTTTAACAATATGGAGAATTGTAAACGTATTGAATCTTTCCTTCGAATTCCTTGTAATTCCTTAATCAGCGGTAATGAGATTATTCAGCGCAGAGCTCTGGAAATTCCGACGAAGAAAATAACACATAAAAATTCAGGAAATTGACCTTTAACTATTCGAGTCATGGGAGGACAAATGATATGTTCCAATTAGTGTCGCTGTTCTAGCCACTAGAGGAGATCTTTGAAACCTAGGAATTAACCTTGTTATTTTTATTCTTCATTCACGAATAAAAATAACGCCTCGCGTTTGCTCAACAAGAATACGAAGAATTACTTGACCATTCGAAAGACCGACTTCCTATAAACCTCGGCATAGATAGTTGATATATTTATTTATGTGATCTTATAAACTGATCTTCTTAAGCTGACGCGAGGTTGGCACAGATCTTCGTTGTTTTTGTCGTTGTTTTTGATGTTATTGATCGATGGCTGACGTTTCGGCGATTTCGCCTTCCTCAGAGCCGTGATGTTACGTGTGAGACTTGACGAAAAAATTACTTGACCAATGCGGAGGTTAATAGAAAGCCGGTCGTGGGAGTTACTCTAAGAGTCTGTGTTTTCGGCGGCTTATAATGTAATGTTATTCGTTTCATACGTCATATCTATAAATTCTTATCGAAGAGACCCGCATGGTGTAGTGGTGAAGTGCGCTGCTCCCCGGCAAGGACAACGGCGCGTGTTCGTTCCCCACTGCATACACCTGTGGTCCGGAGTTTTGCAAATATCTCAGCACTTCATACGTCTTATCGAAGACTTTATTTCCTGGATGGATTAACATTCTACGGAGTATTTCGATGAATATTTGGAAGCTCGGTGAGATGGATTTGCGTTCCATGCAAGAACTGGCGAGCAGGTCAAAGCCTTATCGCCTACATAATTCTGAGAACATGTAATCGGAAGAATATTGGATTTTGTATACACATTCGTCCTCTGTAATGTCGTATGGTGCTTATTATTTGAAATTCTGTTGTGTTCCCATGTGATTGTGTCGTTGTATTGTAGACGGTGGCTCAAGAAGCTTCACTGATATCTTTAAGATGTGCAGCACTCACATTCTAACCCCCCTCTCTCTCTCTCTCTATCTCTCTGTCTCACATTGTTTCTTAGCTCATCAGCTCCATCTGTTCATTTTTGCACTAGATTTGTTTGCACTTTCATTATTTTTCAGTCTTTTTTCATTATTGTCACCGTATGCTTCTTTCGTCCTTTTTTCTCTTAAAATAATCATAAGCGCTAACACTATCATAGTATCGCTTTACCGTATACCATCAGTATACGAAGAGGATGCACGAGCTTTGTCACGCTACCTGCACTCACAACGCCGTAGGTCACTACAAAAGCACAAATTATTAAGCACAAGGCTTACGGTGAACTACAGTATCGCTGCTAAACTGAAGTTTGTTGCTAAAGAAACATAAACACTTATATAGTAACAATATTCCTCGGTAAACACGAACCTTTATTCTTGACAACAACGAACCACAATCATTCAATTCCGTCGCAAAAGTTTCCAATCGTTAGCCTGGACAGTCATAAGTGGTGAACACTAAGAGTAACACTGTGGCGGAATTCGAACTTAGTGGTATATTTCAGTTAGTAATTGAGCTTCGTGAATACGATTATTTGGTTTAATGTTGCTTCAAAGTCAGTCAGAGTTAACGTTAAGCGTTCAATACTGATTTTGTTTAGGGTGCGATTCTGACAACAATGATTGCTGCCCGTCACTTGTCAAGTAAGTATTCTATGTATAAGTATATATAATGAGTATTTTGAAAGATGAGAGATGTGAGTGAACGGAGTGTAGCTTTCAAGTCCGCTGATACTTGCCTTCCACACTTGTCTTACCTTACTCCACTATTGGGCATCCGGACATCGTTGCCGTTTTGGTTGTATACTCGTTAGCAAGTGCAACGAGATCGGTGGAACTGGACGATTAACTGACAAGAGGGGGTTGAAGGAAAGAGAAGGTGGAGTCGCAAGCCGACTAATATCTCACGCTGTAATATGTGTAGTGTCAAGTTCATCGTTGAATAGCCTCTGGCTAGCCATTACTGCTGTTCCTGCTCTTCTTTTTTCTATTCGCTCTTTTTCCATTTGTTCTTTCCTGTCTATTGCATATTTTATGAGTACATGTAAGTCAAATTTGCTTAACTAAAATTACTACTCATGTTTTTTCTTTTTTACGAAAACCCTTCTTATCTTTCTTTACTTTATTCTGCCATTGATGACTGGCTATCTTTCTTAGCGACGAAAGTTGAGTTCTGCCAGTTTTTCACTTAGATTGTATGTGGCTGGTTAAAAATAAGTTTCTATACTAAAATTTCCCTTATGAACGACTTTTGGTTCAACTTTTCACACTAACTTCTGGTCGGAACTACATTCAACTCTATGCTATGTCATGTTTGCTTTCATATTTTTCTTTCCTTCACATTCCTAAATTTTACGATCGCGTTTTTTTCTTGTCGTGGTTGTCAGTTTTCCTATCTTCAAACGTTGAGGTTCTTATCTGGTTCTGTTTTTCGGAATACTGAACGATTCAACAACGGAATGCATTTCGACGGCGACTAGTACAGCTGACGATGGCGACTGAATCACGACCGTATCGAATCGGTGACGTTATAGGCAGTTTAAGAGATCTGATATCGCGCAGGCGATCACCATCACTATCACGACGACGAAAGAGGGATGTCGAGATGACGACAGCGGCAATCGAACGTGAACGAAAGGTGTCGGCGCCAGCGGATCTGAACCAGATATTCACACCGGTCGTTGAACAACCATTCACTAGCTCATCGGATTCAATGAAATATACTTTGAATTCCCAGCGAAACTCCAGAGTTTCACCTATTCGTCAAGTGGACGTTGTGAAGACTATTATTCCATCGGTAATGCCTACGCAAAACAACGTACAATATTCAGTACCGGATGGCAGTGAAGGTATAGTGCAGTTACTTTCAAAAAAAGAAGTATCAGTAACGTCTATTAGTGACTATTCACTAGTTAATGGACTTTTTGTTAGGTTATTTTCAAATTCCCTCCGCTTAAAACATAACATTCCAACTTTATCGATTGATTGCTCTGTAGTGGGTGAGATGATTTCAGTGCCGGTGTTTGAATAGGAGTCGTACTCGGTCGTCAGTTTGCTCAAAGTTTCGTTGATTGTTTGCTACTTGGTTTCGTTTACTGTTAATATCAATAGAATTACTATTAGTGAAATCACTATTGCTAATTATCAGTTATTATCACAAAGAATTCTAGCATAAAACAAAGTAGGATTGATTCTTTGGGTATGTAACTTGCTGGAAGGGAAGATCGATTTCATAGTGGTTGCGTTCTTAGAAAATATCTCCAGATATCTTCAAAAATCTTCGCGTCGAAATCCAGCGATTAGTTTTGCTTAGTAAATCAGTTATTTACACCCACTGATTATTTTGTTGGTGATCTAGTGATACCGTAATGTTTACGAGAAAGTTCTCGTCATTTCTCGACTTTGACTAGTGGTCAGAGTTTCTCCCTAAAGGGAGAAACTGATGAAACAACACTGAGGATTCCATACGGCTAGAATATGAAAATGAATAAATAACTGGTCGTCTTTTTTTATTGCGCCTTTTCCGTTGTCATATGGGTCATTCGAATTTCGGCCAATAACGTTTTAGAACGGGAGCAATTCCGGCTTCAGAATGGTCGTCTGTTTAAAGCTATGAATTCATCAAATATCTTCCGGAAAAAACTGCTTCGCAGAAGCGCTCATTGAATTTTGTACTTCCTCTTTTCAGCGACTATCGACCGTTTGATAAAGACGGGGAAATGTTTGCTGAGACCTCGTTTGAATGAATATTGCTAGGAATTTGTCCTGTTTATTTTTTTCCGTCTACATATATGACGATAGAGATTCTACATCCTTCTCAGAAAAGTGTGTTTAGCTGTTATAGCCCTCTAGAGTTGTTTTTAAGGTGCAATAGTTACCTACCCGGAATGTAACAAATGGAATTAGGTCCGCTTAGTGAGGTTTTCAAGCAACTACTCAGTTACGACTTGAACACGTAAGGTTCCTTCTTTGCACAACTGAGAACCGGAGTTTGTCGTGTTAGTCAGACAAGAGGTTCCGTTGGTCTTCTACGTATCTGTTTGTGTCATATCCATTAATATTGAGAAATATTAAAACGTCTTTGTTTTGATTACGGTTTGTTCTTCATTTTCTGTCTAAATCTACTAGAATTCTGGACATTCTTTTTTCTTTTTAACTGAATTTAACTTAATTTTAACTTATTATTTACTGCCTACTCTCTTTAACGGCAGGGTATACATTGTGAAATATTGTCCTTTCCGGGGAGTAGCGCGTTCACCCGCGTGGTGTGGTGGTGAACGCGCTACTTCCCGGAAAGGACAATAGCGCGTTCGTTCCCTGCCGCATACACTTGCGTTCCGGAGTTTTGCAAATATCTCAGCATCATTAAAGTTAAAAGTTAACTTATTTGAAAAAGTCAGACCAAATCATATTCTCTCGTATTCACCACATGTTACCTATCTGTGAAAGAGTCATATCAGGTAGAAGTAGCTCAGCCTTGAATTCTGTTTTCTTTTTTTTTCTTGAATTCTTCGTTTTTTCGAAATTCCCCGATGACGTTGTCGTCCCACAGTGTACATATTTTCTGATTTTGCAAGGTTTTTTCCTCAATCAATAACCGATATTGTGCTTGTCTACGAATGGTCGTAAATTTAAAAGGCAATCAGAACGGAAAGCATCAATCAAAGGAATTACTATGCTATTGTTCTTTAATGTGCAGTCACGAATTCTGCATTGTCACAACAGAATCGGTATCATTGAGAAGAATTCGTATTTTTCAATGTATTTTGTGTGTATGTGTGTGAGCGGTATATATATATATATATTTATATGTATATGTAAATGTCGGTGTCTGTTGGTGTATCAATGTGTACATGTATGTGTGAGTGTACATCGTGTGTGTGTCGGTATATGTGTTTGTGTGTATGTATCTATGTATGCATGTGCGTATGTATGTGCGCATGTATGTATGTAATGTATGTGTGCAATGTATGTATGCTATGTATGTATGTATGTATGTATGTATGTATGCATGTATGTATGTGTGTATCTATTCACGTATGTAGATGTGTGTGTGTGTGCATGTGTGTGTATCCGAGTGTAACCGTGTGTGTCTGTGTGATCTCCACGGTATTCGAGCTTCACCAGTTTTCTCTACGTTATCAGTTTTCCAAATCATGGGTGCCTACAGAATCTTCAAGCACTCAAACATTTAGTCGCCTAATCTCTGTTTTGATCACGAAGCGTAATGAACTAAATATTGATTTAAACTTTTGCGCAAGTTATTTTCGTGCAGTTATTGCTTTTTGATGTTAGTCATGTTCATGGAAAAAGTCACTGGAATCCCCTCAAATAGTCTAATCGCCTTCTCCGAAAGGCTTTTTCTTTTGTTGTCGTAGAACTGTCGACGAATACCGTATCCGCCCGTAGTGTGATGTTATTGAAGAGGCCTGTAAACGTTAGAACAAATGGATGAACTTGAGCGTTTAGGGAATTTTTCTGTTGTTATTTTCCGATTCTTTAGTGAAAACAATAATGTTTCGTGTTTTATTTCCTAACAAATTCTGGTTTACTAATCCTCTGCGTTTCCGTTGTTATATTCCGTGAACAATGTTGTTTAACGGTATTTGTCGATCTAATCATCATAGGCGTATGTAGCGCAGTGGCTGAAGGTGCACTCTGGCACACTTGTGTGTCAGTGGTTCGATTGCGTGCTCCTGGCTCAGCAAGCTCTCCATCCCTCCGGGTTCGGCAAGTAAGCACTAGACCTGTCTGATAGGATGCCAGTATTGCCTAGACACATTGATATGGCACTGAAAATCAATGGTTATAAGTGCATTGAATCACCTCTAACGACGCTTAGTGGTGTCAAATGCATGGGACCTCGTAGGGATTCATCAACGCTGGACCTTCTATTTTTTATTTCAATCATTAATCACAATAATGTTGGTTATTTTTCTTACAAACGACTTAGTTGCAAACAGAGATAGCAGCGTTTTTATACTATGCTGTCTACTTTTGCTTCTTGAGCCATTATTTTTATATTTAGTTATGTTTTTTGTATTCCTACATACCATATGTAACTGTTTTCTTCACTAGTACTATTTAAGTAAGCGGAATCCGTTTTAAAATGAGCATCAACAATGACAAGCAACGCGTATTGCTTCTGTCCATTTCGCTTTTGGCACTTGCACTGCCTATTTTCGCTAGGAATCCTTGACATTCGAACTGCTCAGCTGATTCGGCAACACTTTTAGCAGGAGTTCCAGGATTTCCACCGTTGCAGCATATTACTAGGATCCCTCCGCTGCAGTGTATTCCTAGGATTGCACCGTCAACAGTCTCGGTGCCATGTGGAGCAAAGTTTCTGCCATGGTGGTCATGCTAGCGGTAGCTTATGTAACAGCTAAGTGTCTGGATTCCCAGATGGAAATATCCAACTTCTTATTCTAGGATACTGTCATACAGATGAATACCTGCTTTGCATCGTTGTTCGATATCCAAGAAGAGCATCACCCTAGACCAGTGAAGGAGATTCTTTACATACAAATTTTGTTAATTCTTCCACCTTATTTCTTCTATGTTCGAAGAATAAATCAAAACATGGAAAGGCTAAAATTCCTTATCGCCCCTTATTAATAAGTTTTGTTGACTTATTAAAGATAACAAAATAATCGAATAGATTATGACAGCTCTGATTGTTTTCCACAAGTGCAACACTGTTTTCAGCAAGAAGGATAATGAATGGTTGCTTCTCCTTTCGTACGATGAGTACCATTTCAATCTACCCATCTTACAGTGTTTTTTCAGAGTTGTTTCTTAAATTCCTTTCGGATAATTAATAGTCAGTGAAGAAGAATCCTCGTAAGGTAAACATCAGCTGCTGCTCGATCTAGTACATGACAGTTCTTTAATGTGAAACTTTCGTAGCGGTTCTATTAACAGTTATGTTTGTTTTCTGTCTTAAAGGATAAAAGACAAAGCTGTCGGCGTTGATCAATCGCTGGTGATGCGCCGTGTATTCGACTTCATTAAGCATCGTTTGGATGTGACTAAATGCATATCTGGCCTTTACAATAACTCACGGTGGCCTAACGATATATCGAGCCAGTGCTGCTAACCTCCTAGACAAGTCTGGTACCAAACTGCCGGCCTCGCAGGGATGGAAGGCTTGGTGGACCATGGGCGCGGTGATCGATACCACTTGTGTGTTGAAGGGCGCCTCCGACCACTCCGCTACACTCACTCATGTGAAACTTTTGTGAAATATACGTACGCCTGTATATATGTTCTGTCTTAGTAGAGAAATTCTATTCTATTTTTTGTCTAATTGGCGACGACTAACAACACTCAAATAAAAACGGAATTCTTTTCTAAGATCGTTGTGGTTGATTTCACATAATACTTTTACCGTGAAAATTGTCGTAGGCATTAAATAAAAAAGTAAACATTATAATATCGACTACAGCCTCGTCTTAACTGGGTTCGATACCGATGTGAGCTCCCCAGATCAATCCCGTTGATGTGTGATTGCTGATGGCACTGGTAGATGGAAAACTAGATGAGAGAAACGCAGAGGAAGGGCCTCCGTGACGCAGTGTGTAGTGCGCGAGCCCCAGGAAGGGGAAATCGTGGTTCGGTCTGGCCCGGCGTCCATGTTTTGCGAATATCTCAGCATCGTGGTGGCTGATTTCGCATAATACCTTGGCGTGAAAATTCTAGTAGGAAGTGGAGAAAAAAGTAAACATTTAAAAACGGAATATTCAGGTACTATTTAATGTTCGTAACGTTTTTTGGTGTTGAAGCACGCACCTAGCACGGAATGCTACTGAATTATTCGTGACTACTGCTCGTGTCTCTTTATACATATATGTATGTATATACGTGTGCCTGTATGTATATGTGTGTATACACACGAAGGTGTATTGAAGTTGGCCCGCATAGAAACTGCCTGAATGGCCGTAAGCCAGTAAGCCAGTCAGCAGTGTTTGTTGTTATTCATCCATTCATCTGTTTGACCGGTGATGAGGAAGTGGTGGAATAGGTTGCGGATGCTGCTTTGATAGTTCCTCATGTACATATTGTACACTGTATTGTATTGTAGTGACAGCCGTCTGAATTATGCCATAGCCTTCTTAGCTTACATCTGGATGCAGTCATTTTAAGTATTTCTCACGAAAAAAGAAATCAATTCTCATGAAGAGAATTCGTTTCTGTTAGCTGTAGCTTTTAACATCTAATTGATTTCACCCATATAGAAGTTTTTCTTTTTTTTGTTTTAGTTCTAGCTTTTGCTTCGGGGGAGCATATGAGGAACGCTCTCACACTCCTCCCACAGTTCCTTTTCAGCATCGTTCTTTTGGTTTTTTTTTTTGAAAAGTTTTATTATCGTTCCACATTTATTATATCGTTATTATTATCCACTTGCATTTTTTAAAAGAATTGTTCTTCTTATGGTTCTTGTGTTCTGAAACCATAACGGAACACCTACTTTGTACAGTATGAAGAACGAAATGCGATCAGAGCGCACTATTTTTTCCTCATACCTTACTAATTGTTTTGCCTTAAATTCGATAATTCACTGCTTTAATATGCCTATTATGTTTTCATAGGAAGCGCTGAAATTTGGTTGTGCACTTTTTAGGAGTTTTAGAACATCTCTTATAGAGGAGCTTTATTCCTCATAGAATGTCTGGACTGAATGAAGTAGCTAAAATCGTTTTATCAAACAACTTCCATAGCCGCCTTACTTTTACGACCGTTTTAAGTCATTCATACATTAGTAACTACTTCAGCGTAATATGTGCGTGTTGATTGCTGCCGTTAGTTGAAATTGATCGAAACCACCATCTCACAATTCTCTGGTTTTCATGCGAAATTGTAGTTCTCCATGTCTATCGCATTGTTTTCTTCTATAGCAATTGATTTCTTTTAGCCCAACCCTTATTGAGAGGCTTGTTCGGCGTAGTGAGGAGATCTAATCGTACTGGAGTACTCAATCTTCAGTGAATTGAAGTTTTGAATTCGTATGTGACGATGATGGAGTCAATTCTTTGTACGTTTCGACAACGAAGCCGACGTCGAACGAATGCCATGTCAAAACAGTTGAACGAAACGAATTCGGTGAATTTGGCCATAGAAAACGAATTGGCACTACTTAAGGAGCTACAGATGAAATCTGAAAAGTCACGATTGATCAGTCTGAACTGGCCACGCTTAAAAGAGAAGCACAGAAGGTCTCAAGATCCAGTCACTACGACAAATGAGCTGCCATCCATAGACTTTATCAACACCTTCAAAGAAGAAGGTAATGGTATAGTTGTTTTTTTCTAGTTTTGTGTCAAAGATGCACCTATTTAATAATGATTTCCTATATGTGCTGCTTAATCGACAAGCTACTGCAAGGTTGTTAAGCATGACTTTGTTCGGCTCGAAAAGCAAGCTCGATTTAACTTATCAATGAAAGGATATTCATTGATTAGTCACACTAAGCTTAAAGTGAAATCGGTTTTTAAAATAACTTATTAGTCGGTTTACACAAGAAATGTGACATCTCCAGAGCTTTTTTCTCATTTCAGAGTATCCTCATTCCTATTTCATACTTGACATGATACATAATATAGTTTTGCTTTAGATTCTAATGATAAGAACCTTTTGGCTATGAACATCTCTCGATTCTCGAGAGTATAAATCAATAACCTCCGAGTTTATGATTCTGTGGTTATCCTTGTCGCTTTTTCAAAGCGTCTAATTGCTAGCCCGGGTTTTAGATTAAGATCGTTTGATTTTTTCGAAAAAATCTCCTTTAAGCTTACATCAATTGGAACTGTGTAGGTTTTTTTCTACACTACAAAAATTAGCTGTGAAAAATTTCTAGTAAAATCTGCGAGCTGCAGAATGGCCCTCATTGTCATCCTGGTGTATGAAAATCCTGGCAAAGGATATTCATGTTAGATCTTAAATAGCGTTTTCTAACTTTCTGGGTTTCGTTTCGTTTCAATGGGCCAAAAATTTTGTTTTCTTTTCTTAATTTTATTAACCATATTTCTATTTTACACGTATACAGTTGTTCTGTTCTTTCCTTATACGCTATTCTATAAGTTCACCGGTTGATAACTCTATGAAGAATCGTCGTATCGGTTTATCCTATGAAAACATCGATTTCACCATTTGTTAACTGTTGTTACACCCATTCTTTAGGCTGCACTTTGCTTGTAGGAGATTTCTTCGTAGCACTAACTCTAATTTTTCCCCGACTTGAGGTCATTTTCCTTCCATTTTTTATAATTCCATTATTCAGCTCCTATGGTCTTGCATTGCGCTATCCGCGAACTCTAGCGGTTTCTTTAGCTCAATCGCTTAATCGATACGAAATTATTCGTTCCGTAGAAATTATTCGCTTAGTAGCTTATAATCGCATCATAAATCTTGTTACCTTGGTAATTAATCGACTAGTTTATTCTGACATTTTTATGTACCATAAATCTTGCTGAGATCTCAAAATGTAACCAAGACATCTTAGCGAAAGCGTCACTGTAGCTATTTGCTATGCGGTTTATTATGAACTTGAAGAAATGCTTAGCAGTACTCGTTAAACTGCTGTTCGCTTTTTCGGAGCCCTTTACGTTAGTTAGTAAGCGAATAAACATCAGCTTAAGTATTTAGGAGCATAAATAGCTCATAAACGTACATTCCTAGGATCTTTGCACTTCTTCCATTCGTTTCGTTGTCCTGCAATCATCATCTTTAGAAGTGGGCGAGTTGGTTTGGTTCGCCATTAGTTTGGCTACAATTGGAGTGATAAATTGCGGTCTTATCTCCACAACGATTTGTTGAGTGCTGATAAATTGCAGTTTTTCCTGGGATAGCAGTGGTAAGGGCGTTCCTAAGTCTTTACCAGGACCAGATGTTCGCCATTATAAATCGCGTGGTGGTTTCCTGCATCGATCGTGGATAATGAAATTGACGAAGTCCGCTTGTCTGTGTGGTCTTTGTTTTGGAAAAAATGAAGAAAAAAGAAAAGGATATCGTATAACATTTTAGGTGTCTTCACCGAAACAAGGAAAACTTGGTGATTTATGAAACAATGTTTGAAATCTGGTTTAATAGATGGATAAGAAATATTTCAGTTACTTGAAAGAATCGTCGGCGTCTTCTTTTACATCCTTAATTGAAAACGACAAATTGGTTTCTTACGAAAGTCCTCGCAATATCCTTAAAATCAATCCCACTACTTTCTATTAACCTCGGCATTGATCAAGTAATTCTTCGTATTTTTGCTGAGCAAACAAAACGTGAGGTGTTACTTTTATTCTTTACTCACGAACAAGCTGACGATTCGGCTGATTTTGCCTTTCTCAGAGCCTGGAAAGGTCAAATTGACAGCAATCTATTTGGTCAAACACCTCCATAACCAAACAGAGAAGACGCTAAACCAAGATTTCAATCACATTGAACACCGAATAGTTTCTTTGCACACTCACCGCTTTCTCTGAGTCTTCCACTAAATATGTCACGTGGAGACCAACCGCACAGAATTCATGTAGAAGCGTAATGTGTTCCTCCTATCAGAATAACAGGTTTATATACTGTCCAATATTACGCGTGATAATGAGGCATTCTTCCCTGCGGTTCACTTTCGGATTTCTGGTTCGTCGCACAGGAATCGAGAACATAAGCGCGCAAAACTCTCGAGGCGTTCTGGTTTAATTCCAGATATCCGGAAATGAACGGCAGAGAAGAATGCCTTAAAATTAAATTCTATCCAAAATGCGTTGAGGTTCTCGCAGTTTTTTCGGGCGTTATTTCGTTAATCGTGTCAGTCTGCAATGCGATATGGCTATTGTCTTAGTTTCAGTGTCAACTATTTTCAAAATTAAAAAGTTTTGAAAGTTCAGTTATTAGCTAAAATTTGTTATTTCGTAAACCATAGAAAAAAAGAGTAGTTTTTGAAATATTTCTTTAAATTCCGCTTTTTATTGCTATACACTTACTTCCTTAGATGGGCCCTTTTCACGAGTTGTGTGGTTCAGTGCGGGTCTTATACCTCATAGCTTTATAGCTGTCTATTACATCTTCAGTTGTCATTCTCTTATTTTCTACATTATGGTCAATTTTAATAATAAGCACTACGGCGAAGGATGGCACTAGGTATGTGTCATGCGGTATCTAGCGGAGAGTTTATATCTGGGGAAGCTCCAAAGATGTTTGAGTAAGGTCTCTCAGGTGAAGCAACTTATGCTTTTTCCTATTAAATGCTCTAGCATATCGTCATCAAAGATTGACTAGGTAAGCAACTTTTAGTAGTTTTTTTTTTCCATTTTCACGTGTTGTATTTCTATATAGATGTTAGGAAAAGCCGTCTCGCCTATGCGTTCTTGTAATATTCACGAAAACAATGGCGCCTTGGGGCTGTGTCGACATCGATCTGCTCACTAAAGACATCGTCGTTGTTGTTTTTGGAAAAGTAGTTCCATATGGAACAATGCCTATGCTGTTCAAGAATTCTCGCTGAGACTTTCAGATGCTTTTTTCTTGGTTATATACGGTTTATTCGTATTTTTTGATAAGACAAATGCATAATGAGGTCTACATAAGGACTTTTCGTTCGTCATCATACTGAGGAAAAGTTCAAGTGTTCTGTTTTATCGAAAAAATGCCACCTATGTGCTGGCGATTCTGATTCATTGTCGAAGAGACGTCTAATTGTCTACGATGGATTCTATCCAGTGAGAAGGCGTATGTGTTCCCGGTTATTCCTCAATTCCGCGTTAAACAACGCTAATTGAATTGCTTTTTATATCAATCGCAGAGATTTTCTTTATATGATCGAATTTTGAGAAATTTTATGGCATATAAATGCTCAGTTTAGTTATTACATTCAACGAACCGGCTCTCAGTTCCCTCCCACAGAGCTGTTACAACGACTTTACGGATTTTTCGCCTACACACTCTTTCTTCCACTCTTTGGCCCAACACCAGCATCACCAACGTCACGTTTAAATCAGATCTTTGTCGTTCTAAACGATTTCTGTGTATATTCAGACTCTATATTTGGCTCGAAAACTATTTACTTCATTTTTATAAAGTAATCATATTTCAATAGAATAACCCTGATAATCATTTCCTCCGTGTGCTTAACTTAGCACTACTTTATTTGAACGTGAGAACAAACATATGAACAAACCATAGGAAGTTGTTATAATCTGCTCAACGTCATGGTTTGATTTGTTAGCCAATTCTACTAAACATGTTTGTCAACATGTTTCAGTTTACGGAACGGTTTTTCTCTTCCATAATTTTGACTCCTAATCAAAGTTATAGTGGTGTTTCTGTATATGTTTAGTATCTGTTCATCTACTCGATGTGATTTTTAAAACGGAAAGGAGTATGTATATATACAGCAGCTCATCATTCATTGACTGGGCGTTTCGTGCACAATGGCCGAATGGCGACCGATAACGGCTGGCGGCTGGACGACATCACAACGTACTGGTATTGGACTGTAGTTGACTATGTACCAAAGTACTGGAGTATATGGATTCTGATCCTGCTCGGCATCTATCTGTATTTGATCCGACCATCATCATTCGACTGTGTTTTAAGTTCGCCATCACCATCATCGTCGTTGAACAGTAAGCGGGCAATCTTCTTGAGTTGAAACGGTTTTTACTGTGTTATATAAGATTTCGTCGCCTTTTTAAATGTATATTAATTGACAGCATGATGTTGATGACTAGAAGTTTGACCTATGGAGAATTCCTCGAAATGGTTCCGTTTTAGCAAGGCAGTTTTGCATTTGATAATCTTACAAATGTGGAAAAAGTGAGGAAATGTACGGTTGAACTTACGAATTTCGTAGGTTACACGGTTGCTGCAGGAGGAAACATAGAAGTGGACTTATGGATTTCGTGGGTTCCACGGTAGCTACGGGTTTCTTTTCCTTTGGAGATACGGTGGAAATGGAATCAATGGATAGTTTTTCAAAATCGTTACTTCACAACTGTAATAGTAAAAATAAAGTTCTCGGACGCTGTGTTATTCTGTTTGTACAGATTTTATTATCCATAGTGAGACGACATATGAGACGACAACGTGAGAAAAAAAGAACGTTTTCACCGCGTATTTTCATTCATTCGACTTTTTTACTCTTTTTATGTATGTTTTTTTTCACATCAGTTGCTGCTGAAGCCATTCAATCTCAGTTTAGCAGTATTTGTGGAATGATTGAAGGGTGCAGAGAAAGATGGGGGTATTCTAGTGCAATATGTTTTGCTGTTTTTGATTGGTATAGAATGCCTACCATAAAAATATACTGAAGAACATATTGCGTCTTTGAATGACAATAATCAAAGGGATACTGTATCTATAATATGAGAATTTATGAGAACATCAATGTATAATTGTGTTTTTTCTTCGGTCGTGTTACTTTCACATGAGGATATTCTTTTCGAGAAACCTGGAGAAAATCATCTTCATCACCTCACCTCGTGTTTAGTTCTCTCTTTTTTGTAGTGAAAATGATTGAGATCTGGGTGGTATAGAGAAAAAGAGGTGTGTTGATCGTAGGCGATCATCACTCCATGAGTACGCTGTTGAGAGTTTCTGGATCGGTGTGTCATTGAGATGGTGCGTTGTGTACTGAACAAGCAAAACACTCATGTGTTCGTTCGATCGTCGTTATTATACTTCTTCTTCCTCTCTCTTCAGCAAATACTTCTACGATTATTTAGCTACGAGAGTCTTTACCATGTCACTCCAATCCATACCATATCGATGTCTCTCTCTTTCTCTCTTGCCTTTGGAAACTCGTCAGCAAATATCAGACAGTAGGTCGAATCGATCTACAATACTGCTGGTTCCTACCACGATTGATGGGGTGGTGGCGGTGGCTGCGGTTTCTATACATGAAACAGTTTTTTGCTATTGTACACACCTTACTACGAACGTTTGCTGACATAACGTAGTGTTCATGGTGCATCTTGAAATATACGATTGGAGTGAGTTTTATACGAGTGAGGTTTCTGAGTTAGGGGAAATTACCTGGTGATGTGATGATGAGATTATCAAAGAAGGAAAAACAACCAACGATATTCTAGTATTACTTATTTAGGTCGTAATCTTCTTAACAAGAAAGAAGGTGGACCACCATCAACAATCAAGGAATCGAGTGAATCGTCACAAACACTTGACGATACCGAGTCCGATAAAGGTGATTCTGCTGGTGATAACACTCAGTTCTTATCTTATACATCTTTTGCTCATTGACATATTCGATGTTCTGACCTTTCAGTACTCTATTTATTGAGTGAAAATGTTTTTCTCGCGTTTTTCCCTAGTCTACTAGTTATCACGTATCCCTCATACGATGTGCAGTTCGTTGACAATATTTATCAAGTCGATCAATATCGATCAATAAATCTGTTGTGACTATATGAAAGTATGTGTATGGAGAAGTGATGTCAGTGATGTTGTGTTTTCGAAGGCAACAATGCCTCCTCGGCTAGAGTTTGTCGTACATTTCACCACCATCACCGGCATGATTCTCAATGGAATTACTTACTCACAGGCACACACTTTCATATATTTTTTTCTCGACATCAGTTTTTATTTTCGGGCTTAATTTTAATAGTTCTTCTTTTTTTCGTTTTTTTTTTAAAGAAATTTCTCCTCATTAATTCTTAAACTGTTTCCCTTCATGACATACGTTAAGTTTTCGCTTGTTACATGCTTTTCTCTATAGTTTAGTTCCGTCTATTTCTAACCTCACCTTTCAACTTTCTTAATGCTTCCGCCGCCGCCACCTTGCTGCATTTTTTCTCTTCATGGGAAACGGTGTGCAAAGAAGTAACGCTTATGCTTTTGACATCTGATCCGGTTTTTTTTTCTGGTAACGAATCGTTTTTGGTAAAAAATGCTGAGTTCTTGGAATTCCATAACGATTTTCCGTAAACGCTCATGGGAGGAACGTGTAATAAGAGAAGACGAACCGTCTGCGGCAGCCGAAAAAACCGGTTCATATTTACTTAGTGCTTTTGCGCATGTACGATATCAGCTTAAATATTCGTTAAAACCACTGCTGGGAAATCTACGCTTATCGGATATTATTTGCAAATTATGAAAACTGATAGTCGCAGGCAATATTTCTGTCGGGATCAGTTTGCTTAGGAGACATTAACTTTCATTTTCTATAAAACCATTTATTCAATTGATTGCACATCGTCTATACGCTATTTGCTTGCTGTGACAGTTCGTCTTCTGTAATCTTCGTTATCTTTCTGTAGGGTTCTGAAGTTTCTTAAATCGGGGCGACGCATGTACGATTTTTGTACGGCGTTTTGAATTAGATACAGCAGCTGGCTGATTGATTGGCGATGAAGTGTGATCGATGTTGCGGTGGTATACAGATTCGGTGTGCCCATTTACCCATGGGCCCACATACCTAGCTTCTCATATAGGCCCTAGCTAGTTGTGTGTATCGTCATTACTTTCCCGGTTTTCCGTACAACGTCTAATCGTGCTACGCACCTACAGGCGGCAGTCAGCTGAAGCACGAGAATACCGTTGTGCGTGCCGATGGAACAGCCGTCACCAAGTCGGTGCCATCATCGTCACTATCAGGTATTGTAAACAGCACCTAAATCTCACTGAATTCACTGATAACACTAACATTCACACCAGTATTGTTCTCAATCTCGATTGCACCGATTTATCTTGAAATCTAAGCACGAACCATGATGTTATTGTACGACGTAAAAGCATATCAAGACATGCGCGTGACATTATGCAATTCAAAATATGCTTATTGATTGAGTTGCTTTCATTTTAACATAAGAAAGACGTATTTTGATGCTCTGCCACAAATCGATGGCCAACAAGATGGCGTATTCTGGAAGAAAATAGCTAAAACGTAGTTTTATTCCTTTAGTGATTTAAGTGAGAAGCAGAATGGCACTTGGTGCTCATATCATGGTTTTCTTTCTCCCGTCACTCTTTTGATTTATTTGGGTGAAACCAAGCGACACAAAACTGAACTTGGTTGGGGTTTTTCGCTTCAAAATGTATAGTGACTCTATAGAGTAGAACAGAAGTTTGTTAAAGTTTTCACTAAATCCCTGACTAATAAAATGAATGCTTTAACGAAAATTCCTTTCACGAGTTTTCGCTGGTGAGAAGAACGCATTCATCCGGTTCTGAAACGTTCATTTGTCCGTCGCCTGTTTCTCTTGTAAACTGTGGTGAATGAGAGTGACGTTTTCGTTATGTTGCTTATACTTAACTTTATTTATTTATTTATTTGTTGTTTTGGTTCACACAGTTGTCTGCTGTTACACTCATTTGACTCTCCTAATCCTCTGTTTCGTATTTGTTTCTTACGTCAATCGTTCGTTTGTATTAACAGAACACAACACAATATAGATGTGATCGAACTGTTCATGTCTTCGACCTCTCCCATAAATCCGTCACCAATCAGCAGTAAGCTTCCCCGCTTGAACGTGCATGAGAGAAATTCCAAAGCCTTTATTGTTGTTTTATCGTATATCGACGTGTTTGCCGATTTTCAGTGCGTATTTTATGACTGGTAGAAATACGAAACGATGACATAAGAAACAGAAACACCGTTGTCTTCTACAGAACAGATGTGCGGAGGCCATCCCGAAAAACTTCACAGCACGTATCGCATTAGTGTTAGGCATCCGTGGGGCAGAATCTATTCGAATTGAGCACATATTCTATCAGATGATCATCTTGATTATCGCAAATGGATAACTTAGCGAATCATGAAAAAACTGATTTATTTTGGTAACTAGACGATACACGTGTGTCGTTTAAGATAAACAGTTCAAATAACGAATTCTTCTGCCCATAATAGAAGCTTTAATGGGTAAATTATGCCAGAAATATTTAAGAAATCGGAGGGGTTCAGCCAGCGTTGCTGTTGGAATCCCTTGTTGGGTACGATTGCATTTGCAGCAGCTGTAGGTTAAAGAGAGTTTATGATGAAAGGTTTGAAGAAAGAATGATTAATAAGAAAGAAACAGTCAGAACAAGTGCTCTGAGAAACAAGCACGTCAGTTGTTATGTTACGTGTTGCATGATTTCGTGACTTCGTTCTTTATTGAGTTAGGGACAAGATAATCCTTTGTGCATTGTCCAAGATTACCTATGTTCTTCCTTTCTATCGATTTATTCCTACAGTAACGGTGCTCAAGAATTGCCCACATCACACCACTATTTTTGTGCCGTCACCTAGAAGAACAGTTGCTGGAGTTGAGATGATGACTAGCTTCCGAAAACTCTCATTGGGATGCGCGGGGACTCTCGGCTACTCTTTATATGCTCGGCGTAGTAGAATCTGCTGCAAATCGATTCGCCACACAGCACCAGGGTCTTCCCTGAGGCGAAGAGTGACGTAGTAGTGTGAATATAGCAAACAACAATGTCCAAGTATCTGTTGACGATATTGACTTCTGCGATGGTGAGGTACTGCTCATCGGGGCGGTGTCATTAGTGTGGCACCGCCCATTGGAAGGTTGCTATACTCAAACAAGACACCTGACCTTGCTCAGAAGAAGGAGAAGAAATTCGTTAGTACTTCGTCATCCATCCGTCTATCGCTTCCATCCATCGTCGTTAATCCGTTCATTTATGGCTTAATCAGTTCACCTACGGCACGTTTTCCCCGTTGCTGATACCGTAGCCTCTACTAGTTAATCTATTCCGAGAATCGTTACTTCTTGATGTTCATGAAATGTGCACATTAACGTGTCAGCTATGAATATAGGTACAGTTTCTTTTTTTATTTTACTGTTCAGTTCATTTTCGTTTCGAGACCAATCCATATGTCCTTTATTGATGTGATTCTTGAATATTTGTAGTAAATTGTTTTTCAGTTACGATATCAGTAATTCATAGATGACAATGTTTAACTTTTATTTACTGCCTATTAGTTTTTCATGGCAGTGCATGATGTGAAATGCGACCACAATGATGCGGAAATATGTGCAAAGCTCCGGACCTCAGATGGCCTACGAACCCGCGATTACCCTTTCCGAGGGCTCATATGCTATCTCATGTACCATCGGGTCCATTGCTTTACCTTTCTCTCGGTCAGTTTTTTGCCTTAATACTGCCATCAACAGTCATCCGCCAACGGGATTGATCTGGAGAACATAAATCGGCATTGAACTCGGTTAAACTGAAAGCTTCACGCGAAAATCCAATGTCCAACTTTTATTTGCTGCCTGTTTTATTCAGAGTTAGCGTATATCTCATCATCCTTGTGGTTGTAATTCATAAGTGTTTCCTACTACGACGTTATCTTGGCACACATTGGCACCATAGTGATTCATTTACGAGCATATGTGTGTTGTGTGTGATGTTATCGATGAGAAGATAAAACTAGTACTTTGAAAGTACAACTCTCATTTGAGCAACAAACTCTCAAGTATAAGCAATCCCCTCATCCCTAAGTCTGGCATAATAAATCGTAAAAACGTTCATTGCTAACTTCCTTTTCTTATTTGTATGTAATAAACTGCAGGACGGGAATCATATATTACGGTATGAAAAAGTTCACACGGAGAGCTGAGGTCGTTGAGGAATCGGTTCTCGTTTTTGCTTTGGCATTAGACAAAATGGATGTTTTTGTTGTTATTCTGTGCTGTAAATGCGACTTACCTCTGTATGTTTTATATGTTGAATGATTTGTTGAGTGATTAAGCTGGAGACGTAGCTGGATCAGATTGCAATATTTTCCACTTTGTAAACGCATGGTGTGTGCACCCATCTAGAATTTATCGATGACTAGGTTTTTTTTCTCTTTTATAGTTATAAGATTGGTGACGATGTTATGTATAGTATGATGTCATCGAGAGTGTCCTTTTTTTGTTTTCAGCTCAAAAACAAGAAATTGTTCGAATGACGCAACAGCTACTGGATGCGATTTCGTGCAAAGATTTCGACGTCTATGCGTTAGTCTTACGTTTCATAGTTCAGTTTTCTAGAATATTCTATACGTTGTAGAATGTTCTCAACGTTATTGATTCGCTTGTGAAATCAATAATTGCTGAATCTAAACATTTATGGATTATTCGTAAGTGACTGTAGTGCTTTGCCTTTTAGAGAGAATAACTGATAATTTTAGATGTTTTCTATCCACTAGGGATAATTTTGTGTGATTAACACTTCAAAGGGGGCGTGTGGCGCAATGGTCGGAGGCGCTCTGCGACACGACCATGGGATCGATCTCGCCGCCCGTGGCTCACCAAGCCTTCCATCCCTCCGGGCTCGCAAATTGGTGCCAGACTTGTCTGGAAGGATAGCAGCGCTCGGTCGACACATCGGTAGGCCACTGCGAGTCATTGTAAAGCCCAGATATGCATTCAATCACCTCCAACGATGCTTAATGAAGTCGAATTCATGACGCATCCCTCAGGGAATGATCAAAGCCGAGAGCTTCATCCTTTATCTTTTACACTGCATGGGTTAACAGTTGCATTAGTACAACTTGCATATTAGTTAATTTTACGACTTAGGAGGCTGTTTAATAGAATATTTGTATAAGTGGGATGTGCTCGACTTCATCGCAAGCACGGAGGAAGCATTGCAGCAACATATGTGCCTTCTTTTTTTTTGAAATATGTATTTGTCAGTCATCATGAGTCGAACGAGCGATGGTTTTCTTTCGTTGTGTGAAATTTCGTCACATTCCAGGAAATTATGCGATCCTGCAATGACGTGTTTTGAACCTGAAGCGTTAGGAAATCTTATTGAAGGTGTTGAATTTCATCGGTTCTACTTCGATTACGGTAGGTTTATTATAGATTTTTTTTACATTAGTGATAACATCTACGTGCTTCGATTTTGATACGATGTCTTGAATTGGTTCACTCAGTCGACTTCCTTTCGAGTTATCGATGTCTAGATGACATCATATCTGTAAGGTGGCAGAGTGGGGTGCAGCACGTTAACTGCTTTCAATAGTTTTCGCCTGACTGTTCTTTAAGAATTAATTATCACTTTAGATCATACATGTTAACGAAAGAAGAAAACTAGAACAAATTGAAAACGTAATGAGGAACAAGGGTGTCTATCGGGTGTGGGTATGATTTAATTAAGAGATAAAAGCTAGTTATTCATGCCGACATGAAAAATGTTTGTCCTCTTTTTCTCTTTCATTTACGCGAATTAGAGACAATTTTCACGTTAATGTGAATCTGCTAAATCATTTCAGGTAACAATAATCCACGAAAAAGTCAAGTACACACTACAATGCTGAATCCGACTGTGCATGTGATAGGCGAAGAAGGTGCATGCATCGCTTACGTGAGGCTTACGCAATTTATGGACAGGTGTGTGCGTGCCTATGTGCATTGTATTTTTGTTGTGATGCCGTTTATCTACTTCCATTCTTAAAATTAAGACTTGAAAACGTTTTGAAGAAGAATGTGTTCACCATTTAGATGATTTTCAAGGCGAAATGCAGCATTATGAAGCAAACTCGACATAGCTTTTGGCCAAGTAGAACTTTTTATTATCTGTCGCTTATTTGACCTAATTACAAATTGTATTTATGTGCATCAGTAAGTCTTCTAGACGCATATTAATGGTCGAGTATAGCATCGATAGCTTAAGGCTTCACGTTGTGTATCAGCTGTTGCACTACATATTTACACATGAGGCAGAGAACAATATTTCTCACTAAGTTCTTGCTGTGCTCAGCAGCAGATTTCAGCTAAGAATTTGAACATTGGGTGAGATGTGGAGTAGAACTGAAGCCTTGAGGTATTAAGATGAGCTGCGGACTTGCTCGACAATTGCTAGCACCTCGTTAAGTAAGGATGGGAAAGAAAGGAAGAGAGGCACGAAAAGCAATGTGCTTACATTCTTGTGTTAGGTTTTGCTTCTGTTACTGTGAGCTAATTGGAACACGATGAATAGAAATTTAAGAGAATTAGCAGTGATCAGTAGTGTCATTTTTTTTCCATTGATTTTTGCTTTTGCTAAGCATCTTGTTGTCTGTTGTTTTTACCACTTTTTAAAATCAGCGTAGACAATAAATTTGAATGAGGAAGCCTAGTATTTGTCAGTGGAGGCCGGAATTTCAGGATGTTCTAATTTAGCGACAACACTGCAATTCCAGAGAAAATCATCTCGGGAAATGATCTTTTAAAGAGAAAATTAACTGGCTGTCGCTTAATTGACCTTCGTTTTTTAATCTTAGCTCATTTCCCACTTAATAACCGTTGGAAATATTCATCTAAATGTCGTTTGCTCTTATGTGTTTTAGAGTCCTCCGCTTTTAAGGAATGGATTAGTTTCAGCAAAAGTAAACTGTCAAATTGTGTCAAAATTTTGCCAACAGGCAGCCTTCTAACGAATTCTCTCGCTAGAAATGTAAACTGTAGGCATTTGGTGCCTAATGAATAATTAAAGCTTGGAAACTTCGGAAACGAAAGCACCATCTTTAATGGTTTTCAATTTCAGGAACGGTGAAGCCCGTACACGACAAACGCAAGAGTCACGAGTATGGCAGAAAAAAGCTGGACGGTGGTTATGCGTTCATGTGCATCGTAGCGGACCACCCGCAGGTTCGAGTTCGTCGCCGGTCGAGTTTTGAGTTGGTTTCAAACTTCGTTATCTTTTTCCTTACAGTAATATACATTATTTTTAACATCAAGAATTATAAAAGTCCTAGAAAATCAACTTAACCTGGAGGAAAGGATAAACGTGAACTAAAGACGGCAGTTCGTGTTAAAGTGACTTTCGTTAACATTTTAGGCTGGGAATAAGTCATATACCGCTCGAACATGTGAGGTTGTTCCACTAGTGTGAACTATATAAATGTCATATTTTATTCCCAGCTGTTTCATTTTCCGCACAGTCTTTCTCGGCATACTTTTCGTATTCAATCGATACCTTCGCCACGAGAGATTTTGTGCCAGGCGTCGGTCAAGAACATCTATTTTCTCTATATAATACGCAGAAAAGCTTTCCAAACCAAATTGTTTGTTCGTCATTTACTCCTGCGATGAGGTGTTGGTGCTACTGAGGAGACCATTAAGGTGTCTCTACTTCAGAAATACACGAGTCCGGCCGCAATCCCTTACATTGTTGCCTTTTGTACTCACTGTGTAACAGAGATGGAGTGGGTAGAGCAGTGGTACTGGTCCCGTTCATGTCTCGGCTGGGGCAAACTATTAGAATCCTGTTTCGGTGCCTCTCAGCAAGCCTTTCATCTTTCATCCCTCCGGGATAGGAAAAACTGTGCCCCAGACTTGTCAAGCACAAATCCCACTCCCGCTATTCTACGTGGGAACGCTTTAGCACGCTATCTCAGGGTTTCGGGATGAATAAACTCGATCAATATCCAATAATATTCGTGACGAAGACGAGAAAATCCTCATGCATCACCCGAAGCCACAGGCATAAAGTTCGAAAGCCTTCATAGGTGGCTAGTGCGAGGAAACGAATCGAATGTAAGAGGTGCTGGAATCCACATAGTGTAATACATATGATGTTGGTGATTTAGTAATAGTAGTAAAATGTAACGCAGAACCTGTTGCTAACAGAGAGGGGTCTGGGGTACGATTTTTGGAGAAGCAGAACAGCCGGCATTAGTCAGGTGACATTCATATTAAGCGCTCCGAAATGAACTGGACGTTGTCTCATATTGCGGCAGTACAAGATTGGATCCGTTGTATTGACCAGTCTTAAGGGACTTTACCATAGAAATTCTTCGTCCTGCGTCAATTCGCTCCAGCGGCACTTTGCTGGTTAGCGTTGGATAATTTATAACATCTGGAACAATAGAAATTTGAGTATATCTTTCTACTTCTGTTCAGCAAACACAAGGTGCTATTTTATTTCTTTATTTACGCACAAGCTGACGTTTCGGCGGATTTCGCCTTCGTCAGAGCCGCTTTCTATGAGTCTTCCACTGAGTATGTCGCGTGAAGACCGACCGCACCAAATTCACATGGAAGTGTAATGATTTTGTGAGATTATGAGATTTTTATGATTTTTTTATGATTGGCATTATGATTATTGATTTATTGATGATTTTTATTTTTTTTAATGATTGACATTACGCTTCCATGTGAATTTGGTGCGGTCGGTCTTCACGCGACATACTCAGTGGAAGACTCATAGAAAGCTGCTCTGAGGAAGGCGAAATCCGCCGAAACGTCAGCTTGTGCGATAAAATAGCACCTCGTGTTTGCTGAACAGAAGTAGAAAGATATATTCAATCAATGCCGAGGTTAATAGAAAGTCGGACTTGGGAGAAATTTGAGCGTCCCTTAGAATTTCCCAACCATATGTTTTCAAAAATGTTTCATTCTTTGCTCTCGTTTATTTTTCTGAAATCTATATTTTTTTAGCAACGTCTAAAATGTTTTCAGTACTTTTGTTCTCTTTCGTCGTCTATGTAATGGTGATATGACATACTGTACTGCGAATTCGTGCTCTCTCAGCGTATCTAGGCACATTTCTACGATAAATACCGTATTTATTAAAGATGTCGATATTATCGATTGATTTTCTAGTGCTATTTTGTTTGTTCTATTTTCTGTTCTTGACTGAAATTGGCTTGTTTACTATGTTCAGTTGTTTGCTTTTTTGCATAAAAATCTTTCTTTTTCGTATTCTTTTTCTCTTTTGTTTTATTTTATCGTACTATTTAGTTTCTTCAATTGTTGCTTCAGTTGTAAATGATTAGATTTAAGGATTCTCACAGCCCATGGATACTAAACGTTGTTCTAGTCGTAACTCACACACAACTGTCTGTTGGTCACTTTTGCTTAGTGACCGTTCAAATGACATTTATTGAGGGTCGTTTTGCGTCTTTTCCTCGAATATTCTTCCTTTTTCATCTCACCTCGTTTCTTTTCCTCTCATTATCAGCTTTTAGTTATGCATTTCGTTAGTGTTCATTACTGCACCGCACTAAACGACATATTTCACCGTAGTGGTGTCGAAATGATGAGAATGCGTACAGTTATTTTCGTAGATGGACAACATCGGATATCATCCATGTTGTTCGGCTACTGTGCTGTCCCGAGAGGTAACAGAATTGATGAACGAGCAATAACTATCCGGTCATCATCTGATCGCTTTCGTATTGGCCTGGTTTTGTTTATATCATCTCTCACTCGTCCTTGTAATTTTCACGAACCTTTCCTCCTAGCTATTTTTTTTGCATTTTTTGTTACCTTCGGTTTCCTAAAGTATTTTTTCCCGTCCCCATCATTCTTCCTCTGCTCGTAGAAATGCATTTGTACTATTGCTGTATGTTTGCGGATATTTTTGTTCCCAACCTTCCTTTAGAGTGATTTTATTATCTCTACTAATAAATTTAAATGCGAAAACATATCCGAGCTGTTGTGTTGAATAAAAACAGTATTTCTATACGTTATCAGAATCATAACATGAAGTAGGAGCTCATGATATATGTCGCAAATGTTGTAGAGTGAGTGGGAGCTGATGACCTCGAATAAAGCTGCGAGTTTCTCCGACTCCTGATAGTCCCTTGGAAATGTTAATCATCTGTATCATCTGTAGTCCCGTTGATCATCGAGGGACTCGAATGGATGCCAGTAAATCTTCTATTTTTTCCTGTCCCGTGCAAGAGTAGCCCAGTGGGTTTTGCTCGCTCTAGGGACTCGTTGAGCATCATATCCTTCTTCTTGGCTTTTCGTGAAGAATCCCCACCATCGGGTCGATGGTCTTCCGAAAGTGCGTTTAACATCCCGAAGAATTCAATCACGAACGGATCTTGCCCATCAAATGCCATTCATACGCTTTACGTGTCTGGCCCACCTTATCTTCAAGAGTTTGGCGCATAGAACGGCGTCTTTGATTTTTGATCGTTGAAGCAGGTCGGAGCGTCTGATTCCTTCCCTTACTTGTGTGACACGGGATACTCCTGGCATTGTTCTTTTGACTGCGCGTTCAGTAAGGCTGACTGATCTTTCATCCTGCTTACGCAACGACCATACGTTAAGGCAGGAAGTACTGTCTTTGTTTCCTTCACTCCATCCTCGATGGTCTTAAGATATCCCTAAGCCGCTCGTTTCCTTCAGCTTAGCTCTGGAGCTAAGTCGTTCAACATGTTGATTTCCTGACCTAGAAAGACATAATTGGAGTATTCGGAGATATTCGTTCCGTTTAATATGAATGGGGCATACGAAACCAATCCGTTCCTCGCGAACATCGTTTTTGTGAGATTTAGCCGAAGACCAGTCCTTCCACAGGCCTTACCAAAATCGGCAAGCATTCGTTCCGCTTGGCTAATTTTTGTGTTATAAGGACGAAGTCGTCAGCAAAGCGAAGATGTTGTAACTGGCGACCATCGATTTTCACTCCCATATTATCCCATTCCAATGTTCGCATGACGTTCTCTATGGTGGCGGTAAATAATTTTCACGAGACGGTATCGCCTTGCCTAACCCTTCTTTTGACGTCGAGTATCGCTGTAGAATGGTGATACCCTGGTTGTGAAATTTTTATATAGCTCACGAAGAATATAAGCTGAGTGGGGATGCCTTAGTTGTCTAGGGCTTCCATTACATCCATTACTACTATCTGAACTAAGTGGAAAGCTTTTCCTTAATCGATGACATTAAGATAGAGGGGTCAATTGTACTCTCGCGATACTTCAGTGAGTCTTGCCATCGTGTGGATATGGTCCATCGTACTGAATCCTTTTCGAAACCTTGCTTGCTCACATGGCTGCCCTTCACCCAGTGTTCTGTCACTCCTGTTTAGAATTACTCAAGAGAATGCTTGTAGACGGCAGACAGCAAAGAAATTGGGCGATAGCTGCCGATACCCTGGAGGCCGCCATTCTTGAACAATGGCATAGTCTTGCTCGTCTTCCACTGAGTAGGGACCGTGCATTCAGAAAAGTGACATGTGAACAGCCGTGCCAGTGTGTTTACGAGGAGTACTCTACTTAATGTTGAATTGAATTTCCAGTCTTTGTTTGATTCAACTCTTAATTTCAATTCTTTACCGAATTCAAAAGAGCGTATGTTCAACGGTAGGCATGATGGACCACGGACTACAAACCATCATCAGTTCAGCTTTGCACTGCGCTACATATCGATGATGCTGCTAACCACAAATAATTTTACGGATGCGATGGGAAATCAATTTCTTAGGTGTTAGAGTTTATATATTTTAAAATACCTAATTACGCAACTCATAGATCATCTGTTTCTATATAACATCGTGATATCAGCAATGTTTGCCTCGGTCTTCTGCAATGGTCATCCACAAAGGTCGTCATTTTCGTGTTGTATTTTTCCTTAGAACTTAAGAATCTTACATGTTCTCTTTTTATTCGTATATTGGTTGAGTGATGATCGACCGCGTTTTGTCCTTGAAGGTAAATCGTGCTAGTTTCCATGATAAAGCCAGGGTCATTCGCTAGGTCTTATAGATGGAAGTGTTTGGTCATGCCATGATAATCGAATTGGACCAACTCCGTTTTGAAGAAGACGAAGATCGTGAAACGTTACCTGCAATAAATTCTATGAGAACCTCGTGTAATTTCATGAATAAAACAAAAAATTATTATAACAAGGAATCTCAATCGAGTTCGAAATTCAAAGAACT